GGAAGATAGGCGGGGAACAGCATAACTGCATTAACCACTTTAATTCTGTAAATGTGCATAATATTTTGGCTAACTAATAATCTAATTGCTACCTCCTGCGTGTTTGTCCTAACAGTGATGGGGCTCAAAATTCCAGCAATGTCGAAATGATGCTTATAGAGGTCTTTCAGGTTTTGTTTATGTTAATTAACGGAAACCTCCCTGTTTTGCATCCATGTCTAAGCTTATGTAATAAACGCCACATTTCTGCAATACCAAAGGAAGAATTAGTGTTATGTTAGAGAATCGTCTATCATGTTAGCATCTTTCTAATTCTGCAAGCAAATCCATAATCTATTGATAAAGGCAGCCTCAAATTCAAAACAGAATTGTGCTACATACATTTGCTTTTTCTTAATCCAATCCAAATGAAAACCTTGAAAGGCCTATTCACCCTTTACAAAGCTGTATGAAAGGATGAAAAAATTCTACTGTATCAAAATAATTATATAAAACATTAGTCTCAGAAGAAAAGGCTGGGATCACAAAGCCCATTCAGCTTTCAGATATAATCTTTTTAATATGAGGCTAGATTAAACAACATGAAGTGAAAGGGGTTAAGTATAAATCCATATAGATGCCCAAAGTGTTTACAGTGTGCATTAAATAAATCATTTCATGCGAAAGGACAGTTATTGTTGCTGGAAAGGTTTCCTAATTCACTTTCAGATAAAAATAAAGAGGGCCGCATTTAGCAGCTTTGTACACTTTTTTTCCTTCTGACAGCTTTCAAGTGGCAGCATATTATTTGGTCGCTGCTACATACAAAGTGTCTTAATTAAAGGTTGTCTAAAAATACAGAACATTTTCACAACCACATCTGCCATTAACTCTTCTGACATTCTGGTGGCATTAAGTGCCAGAAAATTCTTCCCATGTTAAGTAGAATTCCACTCTTTTCCGTGCTGCGTCTCCAGAGCAATTGCAACAAATTTAAGCAGCAGGTTGCAACGGGTGAGCACCATCATCACAGGCGGTGCGCACGGCCTTTTCCCCCAGCACGACGAAGTGGCTGTGCTTCCAGGAAAGCCAGCTCCCCACCGAACCGACACGTCCTGCCCCGTGCCACTAGAGCCATGTGTCCTGCCCCTTCCCCGCTGAAGGAATGTGTCCTGCCCTGTCTCCACTGAAGGGACACGTCTTGCCCTGCCCTCACTGAAGCAACGTGTCCTGCCCCATCCCCACTGGGGCGACGTGTCCTGCCCCGTGCCCTCAGCCAACACAGAGGACAAACCCAGCTGGCCAGCCACACGTTGCTCACTGGGGCTACTAGCCCTCAGTTCACGTAGAGTTTCAAGGCACTACTGAATTGCAAACCATGCATTTAAGAAACAGTGTTGCTCACTTTCAATTCACTTTGCAGCAGATTTGTTTAAAATATGAGCTCCAATAAGGAACATCAACATTGCTACGTACACGTTTGCTGCAAAGAGCAGCAAAGGGCTGCAAGTGTAGGACACATGGGTGAGAGCAGGGAAGATCAGCAGTCTGGGACACATCACATGACACAAGAATATTTTTTTACTCTGATCTTTCTGCTCAGGATGAAATTAATGCTGGAGACACCAAAGCGTGGGGAATCTAGGAGCTAGCAGAAGTGGCAGGATTAATTATGCATAGTGATTTTATACACTAGGTTATTTACCCTGAGGAGATTTAATGAGAAATGAAATCGCTAAGGTTATACCATTAAGTTAGGAAGAGAATATCAAACCACTGTGCTTTTTTATGCGAAGGACTCATTCTGCAAGCAGAATTTATGAAGTCTGATTTTCTTCAATTAGGTCTGCGGTGTGCGTGTGTACGGTGGTGGGGTGGATTCTCTGGTGTCTCATAATGCAACTGATCTAATGTTGCAGTATTTTCCCTAAAGGGGACACTAATTTGTTTTTCCCTCTGCTGGACTCCTCTTCTCATGAAATTTGGAGGACTGTAATATCTTTCAGACCTCTAGCTCATAGGCAAATTAGATTCAAATCACCTTTCTTCAACCAAGAGCTGTATCATGGAGGAGAGGATCAGACATTGACTGCCAAGTGGGAGTATTGACTTTTTTTCCTCAAGGAACTTGGCTAAAACAGGGCTAGTTCAATTCATATAGCACCAGGCACATATAAACTAGAGGGACAGACATACTGCCTGCACAATTTACCTCATTCTGGCCGCTCAGTCAAGCGCTGTGGCCTGCTACTTGAAAGCCCTGTTTGCAATTGTCTGCGGTAACTACAATTCAGAGTTTCCAACAAAAGCCAGCTCCTCAGTGAAATTAGAAAGGCAATATTGTTCTTCCAAGGGCTCTTCCTCCAAAGCCTCAGCTCCACTTGGTGCCCAAGACAGTGACTTTTTAGCCCAGAAGGGTTCTGACCCTCTCTAGCAAATATTACATTCCTAAGATGCATCCATAAGAATAGAGATTAGTTTATTACAAATCATGCAGACAGTTTGTTGCTGTTCGGGGTTTTCTGGGGTTTGGTTCTATTTTTTTTTTTTTTAACCTAGACTGCTTAAGCCACTTGTATTGATTTTTTCAAAGGTTAAAATACCTCTAGTGGCTTTGTCCTAACGAAGCTTTCCACCTCAGAGCGCAAGCCCTGTGACTCACCAGCTGTTAAGCAACCTTTAACGCACAGGATTCAGAGAATTGCAAAGACTACAGCACTACAAGTCACCTAAAGCGCCCTGGGAAGGACCTGATAATAAAAACTGGAGTCTAACATCATTCCACTCGACAGATAAGTTGATTGGTGGGATATCTGGTGTCTTTGGGGAAAAGGTGCTCCCACATAAGTGAAACATCTAACGAGAACATTCCTTCATCGTTTTTGAAGAGTGTTGAGGTAATTTATTCTAGTTTGAAAACTCACTGGAAAAATTGTTGTAAATCTTATTATATTATAAACCTTCTAAGGCAGGACTATCTCCTCTCTGTATGTGTACAGCGCCTAGCACAGTAATGTCCCAGCCCAATTAGCATATCACAACTGACCTCTGGTGCCTTTTTCATGCATTTTCTTCACTCACTGTCTTTTAAACTCAACCAGTCCTCCTGAGAGGCCATGTTTGAATAGGAACACAGAAATCAACTCTTTTTTTTTTTTTATGGACAAGATGCTAGAGCTTCAAGAGGTTGAACAATTCTGAAAAGCTGCTGACTGACAAAGGATTAACAGTCAGCCTGTGGAATTACACTACAGGAGCTGGAATTCCCATGAAGGACACGTAAAACACATGATAGGACGATTTGCAACTTTATACGGTGGAAGACAGTCATGGCAAAGGGCAAGTTTGCGTTGGAAAGAAAAAGGGCATAAAGGTCAAAGCCAAAAAGTTGAAAATTTTTCATCTCAGTGCATTTCACTTTAGTGCACCAGTATTCCAAATGTTTCACGAAGATGATCTGGGTAAAAAGTGCACAAATAAATCATTTTCTTTAATACCTTCCCCTCCCCACCAGTTCAAAAATGGACGCTTTATGAAGCAGGTTTCACTCACGTCCTTTGCCCCTTTGAAAAGATCCTTCTTCTTACAATTTTAACAGGTCCAACATGGTACACCTTGTCTCCTATAAGAGCAGCAAAACAGTATAGGTAGGAGTCGGCTATGTCCGAGTTCATTATTTTAAAAAGGGGAGAAGGAGGGGGAAATGCCTATACCTCCACATTTCGTTGTTCTGTTATTAATGTTTTGCAGTTGTTTTGAATTAAGATAAATGTCTGAAATACAATGGCATTATGTTTGAACTCCATTCAGTTCAATATAAGTAGATTTCAAACAGGAAACTGATGGTCCTTTTGAATGTAAAACTCTGTATTAGAACCAAATGTAGCTCTTTAATCTCATTTCGTACATACACTAAAGTCATTATTACTTTATGAAACCTTTTTAAAGATTTATATATTCCATTGACTTGGACTTATATGGCAACTGCTCTTTCTTTTAGGTTTAAAGTTAAAATAGGAAAAAATCTTCAGCATTCTTAGAACTTTTTTATTTCTTTTTTGGCACAGAAAGCTGTTAAACGAAGTCGTTTTCTCCATTGTGGAGCAAAGCTACAGCTACTTGCATGTCAGTCAATATATACTTTACCCAGAAAACTCATAGCTGCTTTGTTACTGTAAAACCGAGGTTAGTCTCACTGCTCTAGTCACACACTCACCAGATACAACCTCTGAAAGGGAAAAATAAAGCACATCATAGTGTTGCTGTTAACCAGATTCTCTTACTCATGCTGAGAAGTCTGGGCAATTGCAGTGGAATCGACCAGGCAGTAACGTGGCTGTCACAGCCTGCACAGGGTGTCAGGATCCAGCCAGCTAAAGGTAGGTATTTCATGATGTTTGAGAGAGGAAAAACTATGCAAGCATTTTAATATATTTAACGGCTGAAGTAGGTGTTTGTCAGGGCTACGGATTAATACATGAGATGCAGCAATAACGAAGGCATTATCTGTCTGACTACTCAGAACCAAGTTCTGGTTTTCTAAAAAAAAAAATAATGACATAAATAAGCTAAACAAATGTTCCTAGAGGTGTAAAGTAAATCAAACAAAAAATATCATAATAAAATCCAATCAAGAGAGACACTTCATAGGTATTTTTTTCAAATACTTGTTTCTGTCTCAGGTAACTGATGGGCTGTATTGTTATTACTAAAGGCCACAGAGGCCTCAAGCGAGATCATCCCTCTGTCAGACTGTAACTCATGAACAAATGGAAGCCCAGCTCCTGAGGAGAGATAATAGAAAGGACGGTCACAGGGTGAAGGACAACCATCAGAAGAAGCAGAAGCACTATTACTTATCTGTAGTTGACCTAATAAGAAAGGGAGACATGGAGAAGTTGTGACCCACATGAAATCACAAATGAGGTTTGTAGCAGATCTGAGAACTGAAAGTAGATCTGCCGTAACTCAAGTGCTTCATCCAGGAACCAAACTTTTACCAGGTTTTCACTTTTGCTTTTTCATGTCATAACGTACAGTTTAAATTTAGCTACGGCCATATTGTCTCCTAGGTCATTCAGCTTATCTGGGAAGAACAAAAAGAAATGGCAAAAGCTAAACTGTACGGAGGGTCGCTCAGCCAATAGCCAAGTTCGGCACAGTGAGAGTATGACAAGGTCAGAATCTTTCCCGGCACATTTCACAGTTAATCGAGGGGTTATGGAGGAAAGGTGGTTTCCACAGAGCAGTGTGAGTAGCAAGGTCAAAATCAGAGAAACCAGAGTAAGGACTTTTGCACAAATGCCGGTGCTGATTCACTCTGAAAGAAGAAGGGACATGCATTCTCTGGACGGGCAAAGAGAAAGTAGCTTTTTTAACAAAGAAACAATGGATCTGATTCTGATCTCCTACATGGGTGACTTCTTTTCACTTCAAAGAGTTTAGATAATGAGGTTTAAACATCAGTTTAAAAAGCTCATCCATAGATTAATAGCTACACATAAATTGTACTTATGGAATTCATCCTCATCCGGGATGGCTGATTAATCCTTTTTCACCTAGGATAATCTACTATTTCCTGTGATCAGTTTAGATCAGCAAGCTTCCTTTCAGAGGTAAATTCTGCAGACTTTACTGATGTCAAGTAAACTCCCAGAAACAGCAAGAATTGCCCCACTGGAGCATTCAGCGGAAGCATGGAGGAAGCTGTCTTCTGTATGACTCAGCTACGGCAATCCATGGTCACCATGCTTCTGGGTGAGCAAGACGGTCCCACACAGGTCTGATCAACAAGGAAGCACAATGTATCTGCAACATTATGATTCTTTTAAGTCCCTTTTGCAAGCCAGTACCATGTACTATGTAAACTGTGGTATGAAAACACATGCCCAAGTCCTAGTCTACCAGCTCCTTGCCCTGAGGTTGTTTCCCGTGACACGTGGGAGACGAAAGCAAGAGAAAGCAGCCACCAAGAGGCCTCCCCAGCTTGCAGCTAAACAAGAAAAAACAAAAGGACTTACACCTCCAGACTGTAGTCTTCTCTGCAATAATTTCCCCTCGCACTTTACCACTTTGAACAAGAGCAGTCCTGTGACAAACAAAAACCTGCGTAATCCTTTCCATGGGGAATCATAAGGAGAAACTTCTCTTGCAGTCATTGCTTTTTTTTAACTTGTGTTAAATATCTTTTAACAAATCCACATATGGAACAGTTTGACCATAGCTAAAGTAACAGAAGATCATGAAGGCACCTGTTCAGAATTACTCCTATCAGTAATGAAGCATGAACAATGTGGAAAGCGCATCAGGAATAATTCTAGGATAACAGCTTTCTGCGTGGGATTCCCCAGCCTGTGATGCAGCAGTGTGTGATCAGAGCAGCTCCGTCCCTCTGTCACATCTGGACTGAGGAAGCACTGAGGGGAGATGCTGTTGGGAAAAAAAAAAATCACAGCAGTGTCACACAGGATGTTTTCAAATCTTGTATCAATATTTCCAGCTCCTCTATTTGTTTTAAATTGTCTGTATGGAGAAAGGAAACCCAAACAGAAATATTAAAACTGGAGAAATTCAACAAAAATTAATGTTCTTTTTTTCTCTTTTAGCCATGACGTTTTCTTTTTTCACAAAACATATATGACCTTTTTTGATGACAAAATGCAAGTGAAGATATGTATTATAAGCAAATAGCCTCTCTACCGCGGTGATACTTCACCATTGAAGCCCCTTTAGGTTAGTTCTTGGTTAACCACCACTTAACCTTCATCTTTACTTTTAATGACTTTTCATTTTTGAGAGAATGAAGAGTAACACGCAGGGCTCAGTGGTCCAGCGTGGAGTACTGACCCCTCTGCCTTGGACAACTTTGCGTACCGAGTTCGGGTACAATTCAAAGGATCAGAAGTTGGCACCCAGGCACCTTAAACAGCCAGCGGAGAGGGTAGGTGTCTTTGAAAGAGAAGGGAGAAGGTGTCACAACACTTCAGTTAGATGCCCCCAAAAGGCAAAACGTGAACATCCCCAGAGATTAAAAGCACAAAACGTGCTTTGTTCCCCTGAGGCCGACCGAAGCTGCTGGACCGCCGCTCTAGGCAAGCGCCGTGACGCCTTCCCCAGCCCAGCGAGCTGGCGGGGCCACGCTGGTTTGTAGGCAGCTCGCAGTCAGTATGCTGGAAAAGTCCTTTCTCTCCGCTCTCTGTGGCTGTCCAGAGTGAAAGTTTTGTTCGCAGCCAGCCAGGGGAACGCTCTCCCTGACGCTGCCAAGCGACTAGAGCAGCTCCCACGCTCCCCCCGTTTCCAGCGCGCTGGGCTGCCGACAGGGCAGAGCTGCACAAAGCATACCGTCACCAGGATGACAGAAAACGCTCACCTGCTCTCATACATCTTTCATCAATCTGTTTTGTTAAGGAAGGAAATTATATGATACTAAGTTAAACCAACACCATGACAAACAGCTTCTTCTTGTCAGAACTGAAAAACGAGTCTGTGTTAAGGATCAGGCTAAGAGATAGTAAGACTCTGGCCAACTTAGGACCTGTCTGCAGCCATCAGTGTAAATGCACCAGCAGAAAACTTAATTGGCTGGCAGCAAAACTGTTACTTGCTTGTAAGGAGAGAAAAAGCACTTTAAAAAGGAGTAAACTACTAGAGGCTTCTTGATTGTAAGAAATCGCTTCGATCCCAGCAGAGGTTAAAATTATGGGACAGCTGCTTTAATTGATGCTAGAGAGTTTTAAGTCCATAAATTCAAGACTGCCCCAGCTCTTCCCATCCCATAGAGCTACAACATGCCCCTTGCAGAGGGATGCAGGACAGGAACAGCACGCAGTGGTAATGACACCTCAATTAGCAGACAGCAGCTAGGGATCATCTTGGCCCTCTCCACCCATCTTTGGTATGGCTGGTACTGCTTCCAAAGCACTAGCTGCGCTCAGCGGATTTGAAGTGAATGGCCATCTGCAGTCACACAAGTCCCTTTCATGGACCAGGCCCTAGAAAGCAATTGTTCGAGTGAAAGCAAATCACATTAATGGAAATAATGGCAAGTCACACACTGGCCCTGTAGGTAGTATGCCAGTCTCTTCCCACCTAGCTGCTGCGCACAAATACCTGTATGACTACTGCATTCCCGTTTGTATACGATTCATATGGCACATTCAATTGTTTTGTTACTATGAGTATGTTGCCAGGTTAATGACCGCTTGGGCAAAATCTGCCTGAAAAGTATAGAAACAGAACTGGACAGCACAGACATGTAGGGCTGAGAAAGAAGGTGGGAAGAAGGAGGAGCCCCTTTCTCAGCCAGAAGTTTTAGGAAGGAGGCACAGGGGACAGAGCTGGGGGAGGAAACCTGTAGTGCCACTGTGGGAACCAGCAGAGATTTTTACAGTTGGTTCTGGGGGATTCAACCAGCTTTAACGCAGTCTCAGGCATCAACCCACCACTTTAGGCAAGTTCATTCTTCTCTAGCTTGTTGTGCTGGAGACATCTGTGGTTTTCCTTTGCAGAATCGACTTGCATTCAGATATGTTTAAAAAAAAAAAAGCACACACACAAAACAGTGACTTCCCTCCAACTAAGTCATAAGCACATCTGAGGCTCCAGCCTCAATCCAGTCCATTCCCCTCCTTCACACTTACAGTGCCTGCCGGGACAGGCAGCAGCTGCCACTCAGCTCTGCTGAGCTGCTGTGCTCTTCAGCCTGGACTCACAGGGGCCTAAACTTTGGGAAACTGAATCTCAAGGAGCTGTCGTAGCAACCTGAGGAGATGCTAAATCTGGATTTATGGTATTACATAATGCTGTTACCACTAGATGAAAGGTACTGAGCCAATGCAAATTCACTTTGCCTTTGCAAATTTGCTTTCAAATGTTTAATGGGGTAACTCTGTCCTGGAAGACTTTATGCCAGATCAACTTCTAACCCTGTCTGGCTCACTGTCAGCCATCCTCTCACAGCAAGCATAAAGCTAATCTGAAAACATAAAGCTGCATAAGCTTTGCATCATTCACCCTGGCTAATTTGACACAAGTGTGATTGTGCAGTGTCTCCTAATTCAGACCAAATTGACACTACCATGCAATGACCTAGATCCTGAACAGCCCGTATCAATAATTGTGACACCAGTGAAAACGAACCTTCACCATGCCCCAGTGTTGCCTCGCATCCATTCTCCTCAAAATCCAAGGAAATTCTGGAGTTTAATCAAATTCTCTGATTAAAAAAGGAAAAAGAGAAAAAGAAAATCAAATTAAATCCATAGCATGGAAATCCCCTATTTTTGTGAACTCTAAAGCATCGACTGATCTGATAGGGCATTTCCCCTTACTTCCAATAGCCAAGCAGCTTTTAGAGGCCAATGCTAGGTGCTCTCAGTGCAGTCAGTTCACTGCTGTGACTTCTCTGCAAAAGGCCCTTTCCCTGTCTCTGCCTGACAGCTTTTCCCTCTATGCTGCTTTCTCAGCATATCCGTATTTTTGGTTGTTTTGCTATGCCTGTTGCATTTGTGCTTCTAAAGGAAGCCCTCCCTTTCCCCATTTGCATGCAGAAGAGTGTCTCCAGACTAGTTTGTACGAGTAGGTTTTCCCTCCAAATTAAACTATTTGATTTCAGATGATTTAGAAGCACCTGTCTAAATAGGTACTAGCAGATGACTGCAAACGCCCATTTTTCCTGAAATAAGCCACATCTCACTGTGCTGCTGGAACTTCTGGATTCCAAATCATTACTCCACCTAGTTTTCTTTCATGTCTTTTGCATCTCACTTTGTGCGTGCAAGTGTTTGACACGCACAGTTAACTGCTTGTCCTGTGGAACCTCACTATCTCACGGGTATCTATGGCTTAGCCTTTTCTCTCTGGTGTTATTTGCTTTTTTCCATTGAAATCTCTAATTCCTAGCCTTCTTGCAGTTGTTTATATAATGCAGCAAAAGAGGAGAAATCTTTCCGACCTCCTTTGTCCTGCACACACACTCCAGTCTGGTCTCTGAGGGTTGTAGCAAAACACTAGTGACGTCTCCAGTCTACGAGCAGAACATTGTAAAAACACGTGTAGCGAGCTGCAGCCAGTTTCTCCCAGCTGGCC